CACACACAGACAACCCCTCGACAATATGCGTTTTTTCATTGCATAGATGCAAAAAACGCATAAAAACTAACATGTGAACAGTCTACGCAGACATGCTGTTTGCAAAACTATGCGTATGTATACGTATGTGTGTCTGCGCACGTGTGTGTATACATATGCGTGTATTTGTGTTTGGTGGAAGAAAGCTTTAGCCAGGCTGCAGAAAAGATTAACGGTCTGACACAGCTGCAGATGACGCCTACTGAATCTCAGTAACACTGATGGGCAGTCCTGGGAAATTATTATTTCCATATGACTCAAGCCTAACCCACCGGATGAATCGTATCGTCGGATGTTAAATGAAAAATAGTTATTTCGTTGTTTGGCCTTTATGCATGCTTAACTCATGGCTACACTTCTCTTTGCACTTTTTGTGACATAATTGAGACAAAAATTGGCGGTTGAAACAAATCCAAGAAAATTACTTGCAATCTGTTAAACTGAATATATTTTGTCCTTAAAATTTGTTTTTATTTTAGTTTTTGTAGAAAAATCAACTGGAGAATTTGGCTTTCGCACAAAACTAGCGAATAAGTGGCTACCAAAGCTGCTTTAAATTAACTCTGTTTTGTTTTTATTTACATTTATCTTTATGTCTTTTTAATTTTTGCTTTATTTATTGCATTCAATCCTGCGAATGGGATAAAGAGAAGAGGCGGAGAAGGCGGTTGACAAAGGGAGTTTATGGAGAAGTACAGAGGCGTGCGGGCCCAAGACGACGGCTGACGATGGGTGTCCCTATTTTTGTTAAATTACTTATTGCTACAACTTTAGCAATGAGTAAAAAGTGCATCGTTTCAAGTACTACCCAAAAAACCTGTTAAAACGTTCTTCTTTTTGAAAAATTTTTGCTGCACGACCGCGAGTGAAAGTAAAAAGCTTCACTTTTATTTATCACACTTTACTTTTTAAAGAAAATAATTTGAAACTTACTAGGATAATGTGGCGGAGCTTGGCATACAATTCGAGCACCAGTGTGTGGATAATTTACAGAGTAGACATCATGCCTGCAAAAATTCGCTAGCTCGAGCATAACACTACTAAAACTTCATTTCACGTTCATCAAAAAGAATTTGGAATAACCGTTTATCAGGAAAGGCAGCTATGAATGCTGATCGTACAACGGCAACAGTGCTCCGTACAATTCCTAAACTGTTTTCTGCAGTGCAGTGATAGCTTGCTTGCAGTACATCCAGAGAATCGGTTCCAGCTTCCAGAGGCAAAAGTAATGAGCCACCAGATAACAACGATGAACTTCCATTCGAAGATAACCGTATCTCAAATTGTGATCAGTGAGTTTATGTGGACGTGGCGCAGTCAAAGTTTTATCGAGTTGAGTGGTCTGGAGGTGGGAGGAAGAAATGAAGTAGGGCGAAGTTAAGGAGGAATGCGATATTCCTAACGAATTTTTTGAAGGGCACAAAAGGGAATACTTTCTTTACAAGTAACTAACAATTTTTAAGAAATGTATCTTAATGATAAGACCAGTATAAAACAATCTAACAAAAATCAAAACATCGTAGCAGGTTTTATCACAGATGTAAAAAAAAGTCATAAGTGATATGAGGAAGAAATTAAAAAATATCATGGACTGTCTGGAAAAAAGCGCCTGCCTTTGCCCTACCTTCATGGCCAATCCACTGTGCTACGTGGACTGTCCATGCAGATGCAGCGTGGGCCAAATAGCTGAGACTGTATGGCAGCATACCTCTTCAACACCGCTTTTAAGCCATCGGATTTGAGGTAATGGATTCCCAGTGGCAACACAGGGCAGCGACAAGTATACGTTTGTTCCTCTTTTTACATAATGATATTCGTTGTCTGGATGCACAACTATCCTTGGTGAGCCTGAAACAGATTACGCCACGATGCCTTTCACATGAGTTTTTTATGTTTTTGAAACAGAGTGTTCACCAGGACTAGCATAGCTACTGGCGTGAAGCCTTTGATGCTACTAAGATACAAAACCATGCTAAGCATCACTCCGCTAAGTTCATCTCGACTATCGTTCTCCAGTTCCGCCCAGTAACTCATAACTTATCCACACTGCCTCACTGGAAGCCATGAATTTTCTACTTTACAAGTAAAATGCGTTGGTTGATATTGTGCACCAGTTGTCAATAAAGCGAGCAGCTTGTCTTACATAGGAGGGTTTTATCATAGTCACTACAGTACTGTATGAGTGCTTAATTACCACTGTTTTCACAAAGGTATGCTCCAGTAACTTGCTCTTAGGCGAGCGCGCTGTAAAGAGGGGTGATTCATGATTTTTATTCTTCCACACAAAATAGCGCCTTCTTCTCTCCTTTTTTTTTAGTTTTTCTTGAATTCAGTGTCCTTTAGCTTAAATTATCGATGTTCAGAGCAATTTAGTAATTCTCCAGTGAATTCGGGGTCCCTCCGCTGAAACTTAATTGACTCTGCGGTCTCCTAATTTCTCGTCCCACTCACCCCCTTAACAATTTTGCCAATCCTTATAAAGGGGCAACCCCGTCCCTCGACCTCTATTTGCAGCATTCCATTCCACGTGGAAAACCAGTTACCTTTTGGCAATTGACTTTGTTGAAAAAGCAACTTCCGTCGACTGAATACATCTAAAGTGCAAATAAACGGATACGCTGTTTGTACAGAATAGTTATGTTCTCTGAAACTTCAAAGATTCTGATGTCTCGTGTAAAAAAAAGGTTGAATAACACAGCTTCTGAGTTCACTTGGGAGTTTCTGAAATGGAAGAAACGAAGCGAACATACACATGATATGTCCTATTAGGTAGTCTGCGCAGTAATGCATATCTGGAAGCAGTATTGTCCATACTGACAGTTGGCTGCTCACTGCTGCTCACCAGCCAGGCCTCTTCTCGATAGCCACCATTATACACATCCTAGTCAGAGTCAAACATAAAACTTTTTGACAAAAGACATTTTTCTCATCAAACATGTATGAATTTTGGAGAAAAATGTACTAAAATTCTATGAAGACAAATGTCACTCAAACTCAGTTCATCCTCTGTTCGCTGAACTTCCTAATTTTTCTTACTCAGCTTGATTTCCAATTACGTATCCCGAAACCCAATGAACTATCTTTTGCAGCGCTGACCAACACCCTGGATCTAACTGATTTGGGAGCCTAAATTATTCCAGCCCCCCAAATTTCGCCCTGTCTTATAATTTCGACAGTATCTACTCGCAGAAGGGGCAAAGGCTCTTTCTCTTTATCTACGTTTTGTCTCCCGTAAAATGAATAGTAAACGAAGCAAGAAAAGATGTGGCTTTTTTTATTGCTGTCTAAGACCTTTGAAAGGTTAATCGACTCATGCACTGACTAACTTGTAATAAGTATACGAGGTCATCCACGGTTTCTTGACTGAGTTGTTTGTCAATTATCAGGTTCAACAACGTTCCGCCAACAAGCTTGCAGTTTGTCTGTGCTTTTTCCGGAAGGCCAGGAGCGAGTTGCAGTTTCACACACCTTTTCAGAGATATCTTTATCCAGCCCATTGGACACTGTTCTGCATCTGTAAGCATTCTCTATGCAGCTGGCTTTTTTTAAACAATATTGAAATAGGCGTTGCAAGAACAGCATCCTGCCGGTTGCTAGGATCCCGCTGCTGCTCATGAATGACAAATAATCCGTTCAAAGGTCATGCCGAATAATCCGTTCAAAGGACGTGCCAGAAATTATTCGCACACATTCACTGTACCATGTTTTCTTGATAACCCCAAGACTTTACGGATGCAAGCACAATGATAAACGAAATTTCGCAATGGATGAAATTTTCGATTTGATTAGTCTGGTTGCGGTCTGGATGGGCATCAATTCAGGATGAGTGCTTATGTCCGTATGATAAATAGTGCTTGTAGCTCAAGCAACTAGCCATTACTGCCATATTCATCTCCAGTAATTATAGACCAGGATTGGTTTACTCAATTACCCAGAATCAATTCCAGCTATTTGAAAAATAAACCCCTACTTCCACATTCGCTGCATGTAATAAATTGCAAATGGTGAAAGTCGAAATTTTTTGGCCTTTTTCCTCTAGGGTCTTCAGCTACTAATGATCACAAAAGGCTTTTGCACTTTTCTGGAATTTATGATTTTTTCAAAGTAGATTACTTACTTTTTTAATCCACTATACGTGTTTCTAATCAGCGTAAAAAATAGTAAGTCTTTCTGTCGAAGCTTCTTGTTTTAAATGCTGATTTGCAAGCTAGCCAGTCCTAATCACAAGCTCAGATTCAAAATCAAGCAAGATAAATGCTGAGCCATCCTCCACCTCTCGTGCAGATTTGAATGCTTTCTTCAGAAACAGACAAAAAGAATGGCTTTGAGGAAAATGAAAATAATTTCACTCAGTTATCGCATTTGTTTGATCTTATTCTGCGGTTTTGATGAAGTCAAGTCAATGATGCGAGCAAAAATAGTTTGCGCAACTTGAATCTGTTTTTTCCAGAAAACATGGCAATGTCTGTAGCGTTGGCTCCAATGCAAGTGCGGTAACTGTGTAGGAAAATGGTAGTTGTGCTGCGGATAGATGTGAAGAATGCTTCGGCTTAAAATATTCTAGTTCCTAGCAAATTTGTGGTTTTCATGATCAAGTTCTACCGTCCAAAACCTTTCTGCATTACAACAAATAAATTATTGAAATTTTCTATTTTATATACATATGTATGCACATATCCAACATTAGTGCATATTGTCTGCTTGACGTAAGAGTGGCGCATATACATAGCACAGGAAATGGATGCTAACTAGTGGAATGTCACTCTAGTAACTATCATGGGATCACTGCATCGATAGCCAGGGCGGTCTTGGTATATGTTTGAATAACTTGGCATATTTTTCTGTAACTCCACTAGACGCGTAATGTAGGAAGTATCGTTGTATCCGTGACAGAAAGTAAAATCTGCTAAGCAGAAAATAGCAGTTTCTTTGTGTGACAGTCGGTAAATGTCGTGCGATACTATTAGTCGTGAAGCTATTGTACTGCGTAAAACCTCGAATACTTTTCAAATCATTCACGCTTTTAAGTGCTTATAACAACCACCGGGAGCTTGATGATGCAAAATGTGATTGCACATTTTTGATCTGTAGACGAACAGAATATCGAACTTCCACTAATCCGGCCTTCGTAGTCTAGATCCAGGTAGGCAAGCACATACGAATGTTTGTTCATTAGAATTGCTCTTGTTTCGTGCAAAAATGCTTGAAAATAACAAATTTAGGTTTTTAGCGTTCACAGTGGATAAAAAATTGGCCTGCTTTTGTTATCAGTCTACTTCTAAACCGGTGAAGAAATTTTTAACTAAAATTGAGCGACTCCGACGAAATGAAAAGTGCATATCGGATTAAACCAATATGTGCAGCGTAGCTTTACTAGCTGTTGTAATGGAGTGAATTGGAGTGACCAATGCCTTAGTGGTTGTCCAGTGAGTGCCAGCATTCAATCAAACTGATGTATCTCACATCTGAAGTGTGATAATTGGTGAATGACATGGCTGCCTACGTCCTCCACCGGTACTCGCTCCCTCCTGCTGCCCACTGTCTTTCAAAAGTGGTAATCGTTTCATCAGTTAATCCATTTAAACAACTTTCGATATGGTGCGCAGTGAGAATGAAACAGTGTGGTGACTACAGTAGTATCGGTGGGCGGAAAATCACATTGGGAGGAAATAAAAATATATTCTGTGCTGATGCTCACACTGAAGTTTTTCTGAGAGCAATGTTCCACTCCGTAATTAATGCTCTCCTGCACCCCGCTTCCAATTCCTTCAAACAGTGCGGATTTGCTGCAACTTTACAATAATTCAGAGAGCGCAATCCAAAACTGGTGCCCATTCCTTTTCGTAGTAACGGGCGATGCCACCCCTGCTTCACTTTCGAGTTTTTTAGAGAGTTGGATACAACCATCACAATCCCAGGATTAAGCATTTTTACAAAAACTAATTTGATAGATAGAGAAAAGCAAAGCTGTTTGTCCAGAAAAATTTGTCCCTCTGCGACATTTTTATCCCACTGACCTTTGAATTTGTTGTGTGCAAAGAGGAGTTTCAGCGAACAACTAGTGCTAGAATTCGCTTGGTACAGGAAGAAATGAGTAAATGGGACGAATGATGAAATATAGCTCTTGAATAACGATTACTGCACGAACGGTGGACTGTGGACATCTGTGCCAATCCCACATCCTTGTGATAAATTCATGGCACAGTTGTTCCTGTTCTTGTAA